GATACATTGAACCTTGGCTGTGGTGCTTACTTTCTAACCTTACATAAGGATTCTCTATGGCATATTCCCCTGCCTAAAGAAATCGCTTGGCACCCTTGTTAAAAATGTGGGTTCCTGAACACCAACCTAAGCCTCCTGAGTCAGAATCTCCTGGGGAACAGTCCAGCCATTTTTTTTTTGCATGAAATTGTTTATTTTTAACAATTGCTCCCAGATGATTCTTATGATTTGGCAAGTTTGGGAGACGTTAAACCATAGGATTCCCTTAGTTTAGCAAACTCCTCTAGTATCTTTAAAATATCACTTCTAGGGCCGGCCGAGTGGCTCAGTTGGTTAAGAGCTCACTCAAGAGTGCGAGCTCTGAGCAACAGCGGTTCAATTCCCGGTGCGAGCTGAGCTGCCTCTGAGCTGCCAACAGGTGACAGGATGGCTCAGCTAAAAATAATAATAATAAAATAAAATAAAATATTATTTCTAAAATCCAACTTAAAAGACTTTAGGAACACATGGTGTAGTCAAATTGAGGCACCTGCTAAGAACACACCCCTACGAACTCCAGCTCTCTGAGAATGTTCTATAAACACCTAGGTTGCTGGGTAAGGAAAGGAAGTGAATACCTCTCAGTGACACCTCTCTCTCTGCTTCTGTCGCCCTATAGGTGGCTTGCAGTTCGTCTGGAGCTGGTTGGAAACCTGGTTGTCTTCTTTTCATCCTTGATGATGGTTATTTATAGAGATAACCTAAGTGGAGACACTGTGGGCTTTGTTCTGTCCAATGCACTCAATGTGAGTCTGAAGGGTGGGAGTTTGGTTAAATGAAAGCACTTATTCTTAATTTGAGTCTAAAGTACACCTTGGAGCTCATGCTCTGGATTCTTTTCTATATCCAGAGGCACCAGGGGAGACCAAGGTCCAAACCCTGGTCCTTTCTCTTACTAATTATGTAACCCATGGACATGCTCCTTACCCTTTCTAAATAGGTACCCTTATCATCTGGAAAAGTGGACATAAATTTTGAATCACTACTATGATTCAATCTAGGAGTTCCCTCCTTGCCTCTTTGCTTAATTCTAGCCAAAAGAGAATAAATTAGTTTTCTTTTCCATAATATAACAGTAAGCAGAAAGTCTTTGGAACAAATAACTTCTCTTGTGTTTGTTTTTCTTAGCTCACAGAATAATTAGAGTTCTTTCTAGTAAACAACACAGAGGCCAATAAAACTATAATGCATCCCCAGCATGACTACATAATAAATGTTAGACCTTATTTCTTAGCACCTAAGACAGTGGCTGGCACTACAGTAATTGTTCAATACATGATATTCATTTAATGAGTCATTTGGCCACCTTTCACGGTATCTTTTTGAACAAATATATTGGAGGTTTGCATAGCTCCCAGCACACTCTATATGGTGCTGTCTTCAGTAACAGTTAATGAGGACCAAGGCGATCGTGGTGGGACCCAAAAGGACTCTGTTGTTCACCAGTGTCACTCGGTACCTTGTGTCAGGGCCCCTTTGTCTCCCCATTTCTGGGCTTATTAACCTAGGGCAGATGGGGCAAAGACAGAACTATTAGACTGAACTAAAATAAAACCATTCAAATATCACAATTTCATGTGGTTCAACCTACACAAAGTGGTTACTTTTAGTCCCATGATCCTGTGCTCTCCCTCTCGCTAGCCAACATTTGCTCACAAAAACTCACTGGTTTGAGTCTTTGGCTGAAAGAAGCTTGCCTATGAGTAATCCACAGATTTCCTGGACTCTAGACAGGCCCTGATCCTGAAAGCCCCCTTACTGTTGGTTGGATGCAGCTTTGTCATGGCAGGAGGACACCTAAAGGTTATCAGGGTAAAGAAAGTAAGGGTCTATGTGGATGTCCCACCTTCAGGGCTGGCTTCTCAACCGAGCTGTTGTTAATTGAGAGCAGAGAGAAGAGACAGCTTTTTGGGAGGCCTTTTCCTACCTTGTGTCTTTCCTTGTGCTTTCCCTGTTTGTAGAATGCCACCCACCACCCTTTCCACAAAGAGTACTCGGCTTACAGGCAGGAGAGCTCTGTTCTCATTCCACCAACTGGCAGCCTCCCCAAACCCAGCATTAGCCCCAGACCACCCCAAGCTCACATTGCCCTTCATGTGAACACGGTGGAACGAGTTGTTCTCCAGCCATTTGATGGCACTGGTCTCATTTCCTCCCTCGGGGAGGTGAAGATGGTCACTTGTACCTTCCTTGCTCTGTTGTAGAGTTTGATGTAGCACTAAGTGCAAAGTAGGCACTGGGTTGACCTCGCCGTTTGATTAGCTGCGTTGGTTTCTGAGCCTGAGATGATCTTCAGTCTTCTGGTTTTTCGGTAGATCACACAAACCCTGAACTGGCTAGTGAGGATGACATCAGAAATCGAGACCAACATTGTGGCTGTTGAGCGAATAAATGAATACATAAACGTGGAAAACGAGGTGAGGCGGGATTAGAGGAGCCCGGGAACAAGGGGAAAAAAAAAAAGTTACTCCTTGAAAAGAATCTTCACCTTGTCTAGAGATTATACGTGGGGTTCTAAACATTCTCCTGAAGTTTCCTTTGCTCTAACTCGAAGGACCCAATTTCTTGAAACTTAGACTAGCACATGGTTTGAGGGCAGTCAGGTCTTAGAACGCACCAGGTTAAATGGAGGCTTAATTCTGGAGGTCCACTGAACAACCTCGTGAGATAGAGTTTCTTTCATTGAATATGGTAGGAACCTCTGGAAGTCCTAGTCTAGTTCGGTCTATTCAATGCAGATGCCCCCAGGTGGCTGGGACAAGGCTACCCTTCACCTGCTCAGCAACATGAGTCTCATGGGGTCTGCTCAGTGAGTCTACTCCATGTAAAGCGCTTCTCCTGTTTCCTTGCCAGGCACCCTGGGTGACTGATAACAGGCCTCCGGCAGGTTGGCCCAGCAAAGGGGAGATCCAGTTTAACAACTACCAAGTACGGTACCGGCCTGAGCTGGATCTGGTCCTGAAAGGGATCACTTGTGACATCAGGAGCACGGAGAAGGTAGGTGGAGCTGAGGAAAGGCCTGGGTGTGAGTCCTTGTGGTCAGAGGACTGTTGGACACAGAGGTACTGAGCAGCTGGGCTCTGGGCTTTCATCACTCAGATGGAGTTAGGGGTCTGCGCACTTTCTCTGCTGGGAAGGTGTCGGGACACAGCACTACCACCAGAGGGCAGGATATCAACATGGGATCAAACAGGCTTACTGGGCTGTAAGGGCTTTTCTGCTCAGCCCTTCCCTGCCTCTCTGCTGGCCTGGCTTCTCCTGTGGCTGACTAGGGCTCATTTCCTATAAATGCCAGGCCTTGTAGAGAGCAAGTGAGGAAGCACCTGGCCTGCAGAGGAACTGGTGAGAGCAGCAGTGTGGGGGTTCTCCCTGGAGACAGAATGACATAGCTCTCTTTCTGGTCCGTCCGCAAAGTCCTGCATCCTCCTATGGTGTTCTTGTTCCCCAGTGAACTTGGGGTCTGACGTAGGCCCCCAAAATGCCTGGATCAGGATGCTGAGGTCCATGTCAGGGTCTGGTTCTCAGTTGATGGCAGGCCCGATCCTTCTCTTCTCCTCACTTCTAACCAAGGATTTTTTTTTCATCTATAATTTCCAATAATTATAATAATAGCTTCTGATGTGTCCATTTCCAACAGTCACTGTAGTTCTCAGCAAGCAACAATATAGGAGGTGGGATAGGAAGACCATCTTTTTCTGACATCTGGGCCCTTTTATTCCCCACCAAAACCAAAATCAGTTTAACATCTTAGAGATGAAGTGGCCCATCGCTGTCTCTTTCCACCTGTGATTATGACTGCCCCGGGCTAAGTTTATATCCACCAAAAATTACAGGGTGAACTAACCTGCAAAGGAATTCTTTCCAGATCGGTGTGGTGGGCAGGACAGGAGCTGGGAAGTCATCCCTGACAAACAGCCTCTTCAGAATCCTAGAGGCTGCAGGTGGCCAGATCACCATTGACGGGGTAGATATTGCTTCCATTGGGCTACATGACCTCCGAGAGAAGCTCACCATCATCCCCCAGGTGAGCTCTAGAACTTACTCTGTCACACGCAGCGGGGGACAGCTTGTCCTGCAGAAAACGTATGCATCTTCTTCTTGGTGTATATCCAGTTAGCAGTATTATTTCTGCAGTTTACCCAGAATACCTAAGCTAGCTCCTTAAGACACATGGTTTCCAAACTTACAAAAATAAGTTGCATTTTGGGGAATATGCTTGTGCGACTGCCAGTATCTGGCCAGTAGGTGGCAGCGACACAACAGAAGTCAAATAGAGCAGATGATTATTTAGCATTTCTACAGCCCATCACGGTTCTCAAGACCTTGCAATCAGCATTAGCAATTTTGCCACCGAAGCTTGAAACCATTAAACTTTACATTCCCCATTTGAGATGGTTAAAAGATAGGGGAGGGAATTTGCTGCAGGTTTCTGCCAGCAGCAAGCCGAATACTTAGTACATCAGCAAGAAAGGCTTCCCCCGGGCTTCCTGTCTGAATCCCACAAATAGGGACTGCCCTGGAGGCTTCTCAGCGGTGTGTGGGTCCTCATTAGAACCGCGCCTCCTCTGCTCACTGCAGCCCACTCTCAGGGGGTAGTTTGGGTTTGTCTGGTGCTTGCTCAGTTTGATGTACTCTTTTCTTCTCCAGCCTCTTCAAAGGCATAATAAATTCTTCTCTTGTGACCGTACAGCCCTTGATCCCTTCACCTCCACACCCTGAGTTTTCATTTGGGGGTGTGGGACATTCCTCTTCCCTTTTTAAGAGATGCTGCTGAGGCAAATTTGGAAATCTGTAAATGAATCTCAGAATGAAAAAAACAAAATGAAAAAAAAAACCCTAAGAAACAAACCAAGAACTCCTCTTAATCCTGTGCTTAGCTCCCCAGCTGGCAACGGCTCTAAGCCTGCTGGGGAAACCTTGCAAAAGCTTGACCACTAACCAGCTTTCACTCTCAGGCCAGTCCTACTCGCCTTCTCCTGGCCACAAAGTACTGCTCGCCCCTTTTCTGTCATTATCCCCAATAGACCCCTCATCCCGTGACTTGCAGGATCCTATCCTGTTCTCTGGGACCCTGAGGATGAATCTAGACCCTTTCAACAACTACTCGGATGAGGAGATTTGGAAGGCCCTGGAGCTGGCACACCTCAAGTCCTTTGTGGCCAACCTGCAACTTGGGTTGCTTCACGAACTGACAGAGGGTGGTGACAACCTCAGGTAACGTTTCATAACCCACTTCCCCCACAGGCAGTGAGAGGAGGTGAAGGGAGCCACACGTTTGTTCCTTGTGCTCGGTGGCGCCTGGCATTATAGAATTTTGACTCTCCAGGTCTAATTCCTAACGTGTAAAGTGAACCTGTTGTGAAGATGATATGATAGCACAGAAGTGCGTCTGCATCAAAACTCTTCAAAATCTTTGTTAGTACATGTGCCCCCATGAGATAATACCCAAAGTGAGCTTACACCTCCTGCCATTGTGGAGGTTTTCCGCTTAGCTGTTTATTGCAATCAGGATGAAAACAACCCCAGCGTCTGGTCCAACCCCAGAGAGTCTGATTTCTTCGATATGAGGTGCAGACTGGATGTGGGAGCTCTAAAGGATCGCTGGGGGTCGCTGTGGGCATCCCTGTCCTGGTCTCAGCAGCACTGGTCTCAGGGGCCTGTAGATGATGGGGATGTGGGCGCCTGAAACGCTCTGACCAGCCCTGAGACTCTCAGCATCACAGTTTTTTACCTTTCTAAGGCTTTTCTATGTATACTGACACGTCACACTTCAGGCCTTCACTATGTGCTCACCTGTCAGTTAATAAGTTGACTTGGCATTTTTCCTATGACAATTGGGTTTTTCCCTCCACACATGGAAGTTCATCCCTCAGCCAAAACCCACTGCCTGTAGGTAGTTCTTGCTCCAGTCCTGGTGCCTTCAGAGTGGCGGGCAGGGGCACAGACTATTAGCAGATGAAGCGCAGAAAAGAAGGGAGGCTCAGTAACTCAGCTAATGGACCAGCAGCTCCGGCTCCACCTGGAAGAGTGTTATAAATGCAGAATCTCAGGCTCTTGACCTGAATCTGCATGTTAGTAAGATTCCCAGGTGATTTTTTGTGTATATTACAGTTTGAGAAGAACTGCCTAGAGCATTGATTCTTAACCAGGCTGCACACTAGAATGACTCGAGACACTTTAAAAAACCCCCAATGTCCAGGCTGCACCCCAGACCAGCTGAATCAGTGGCCCAGGTAACATCAGCATGTGGCCCCGGGGAACAGTTGTAAGCCTTGGGGTAGAAGGCCATCATATTGGTTTTTCCTCAGCAGTGAATCTAGGAACTAGCAGGACTGAATGGATCTTTAGGCCTGTGAAATAGACCATTCAAGCATTCAGTCAGCAAACATACATTGAGCACCTACTATATGCGGGCACCAGAGATACAGATGGCGATGACCCAGACAACCCCTGCCCTCCTACCACTTACAGCGTGATGGGGAAGATGGACCTTCTGGAGTAAATGCTGTGGAGTAAATGCTGCGGACGTGGGGACACGTGGAACCCTCTGGCAGGACAGGATGGGATGGGGGAGCTTGACTCTTCCAGTTTGTAGGAACAAAAAAAATCACACCATCCTTCTCTGTCCATGCTGGGAGACACTTAAATGGCATTACCAGTGCTGTGATTTCAGATCTGGTTTGGGGGTATTGAAACTTAAATTTCCCCTGTGAGTGATCAGAGACTGGCGATCAGCTTGGGGAGAGAGACAGCAGTCTAGGCCCAAATGGTTGCCTCGGCAGCAGCCGGTTATATGAAGCCCAAGTGAACCAGGCAGGAGTTTGGTACAAGTTCAGGAAGCAGTTTTACAGTTGCCTCCGTTCGTACAGAGAAAATCTGGAAGTTCATCTTGGGTGACTTCTCATCTCCTGCAGAAATTTTCTTACAGAGAACTACAGAACTTTGGTCTAGCCACCCTCTGTTTAATTTGTTCCCTAATGGCCATGGCAGGAAAGAGCAATTAGCGAATTCCTGAGTATTTCCTCCACATCATTTCCCAAAGCTTCTTTATGTAAGTAAGAGGTCCAGCCTTCATTACCGGCTTTTAGCAAATTGAAACGATTTGCATTTTACAAGCATATTCGAGTTCCACATACATTGCATCTCACACCAAGACATCATGTTCATTAGAGAGCTACATCTCTAATCAAGGCAGAAGGCCTGGAACAAATAATTAGCCTTGAGACTAGAATTACACATTAAAATAACGAATGAATTTGCTAAGGCCGCTAAGAAATACCACCAGGGCATTCTGGCGCAGTGTCACCCTATATTAACGGTGTCAGATCAAATACTGCTGAAGTGAACTCGGGGCGTCTATCTCATTTTGGAATTGTTGTACCGGGATGCCACATGCAAAGTCCTATTCCTGGGCTAGTGTTTTCCAAACTGGTTAAACATGAAAGTCACCTGGGGTGCTTATTAAAAATACACATTCCTTTGCTCCTCCCCATTCTGATCGAGCAGCATGGGGCCCACAACATGAATGTGTAAACTAAGTGCCTGTGGTGGGCCTTCTAATTAATTGGGAACGGTTGGCAAACACTGCCCACTGGCAACAGCGAATAGCTGGTGGAAGCAGCTACGGCACCCGGGGGGAATGTAGGAGTGCACGTTCTCAAAGTCTGATCTGGACCACGAAAGCTGTCCCCACACCCCACCCCAGCTGACTCCGTGGTCCTTAGGGCTAATGCTTGGTCTCTTCCCTTGGCTGCAGCATAGGGCAGAGGCAGCTCCTGTGCCTGGCCAGGGCGCTGCTTCGGAAATCCAAGGTTCTGATCATGGATGAGGCCACTGCTGCAGTGGATCTCGAGACAGATCACCTCATCCAGCTAACCATCCAGAAGGAGTTCTCCCACTGCACCACCATCACCATCGCCCACAGGCTCCACACCATCATGGATAGCGACAAGTGAGTTGGGGAGAGGGGACGCCAGAGCTTGATAGACGCAGCTGAACCCCTTTGACAACAGTAATAGCCTCAGCTGTGGGACATCTGACAGCAGAAGGTTTAACCAGCATTTTACTGATGAAGAAACAGGGGCTGGGAGATTTCAAGTAATTTGCCCCAAATTATACATCAAGTTAATGAAAGCCAGCAGGGCTCAGGGTCAAGTGGAAACCGGGGTGGAACTAGAACCATGTGTGGGGAGGTGAGGACTTCAGCCACGAGCGGCAGAAACTGACCACAGACCTTCCCAGCTAAACTGGGTCTCACCTGCTGCCCCATAAACAGTTTTCTGTTCCATCTCTGACAGATTATATTCCAAATGGGGGTAGCGTCAGTAATCTTAGAAACTGTTTGGAGAGGCTCCCTCAATCAATGTGTATCTTTAAGAAAAAAAAAGCTTGTGTCAATGGACTCATACTGCATATATTCTTCTGCTGACTCTTTTGTTTGACATTATGAACGGAATTCCTCTGTGTGGGCGCCGACGGCCATGGTGCATTCATTCTCACTGCTCTGTAGCCTGGTATGAATGAACACACCATCACGTAGTCCTGGTTATTCTTATAAATGCCAAGATTTGAGATGCTGCTTTCTAAGACTTGTCTTTCCTTCTTCCTTGTTTCAGGGTAATGGTCCTAGACAACGGGAAGATTGTAGAATATGGCAGCCCTGCCGACCTGCTGAAAAACCCTGGCCCCTTTTATTTTATGGCCAAAGAAGCTGGCATTGAAAATGCGAGCAGCACAGCACTCTGACAGCAAATCAATGGCTGACAGAAGGACTATAGGGATCATTCCTTAATTTTATTTTTGTGAAATATATCATATGTACAGAAGTGTGTGTAAAATGTACATTTTAAAGAAGGATCACACCTTCTTTAAATGCCCATGTACCCACTACCCAGGTTAAGAAAATGAATATTATGAGCTACACCCAACAACCCCCTGATGACCCCACTTTGATCCTACTTTTTTGCTACCCATCCCCCAGAGATAACATCCTGTACCTTGTGATAATTATCCCCTTGCTTTTCGTTTTAGTTTTACCGCTTCGTATGTACCCTTAAACAATGTGTACCTTTTCTTAAGCTTGTGTACATGGCCTGACCCATACTGCATGTATTTTTCTATGACTTTTGTTCAGTATCACTTTTGAGATTCATCCATGTTGATGCACGCAGTGGGGCTGGTTCATTCTCACTGCTCTGAG